CCATTGCAGGCTCAGAAGGGCAATATTCTTTAGACAGCTAGCAAAATAGTTCCCTCTACTTTGTTTTGTTCTGGTTTTGGTTTTTCCCTTTGCTAACACTAGCTTTCAACCATACCTTAGCTTTAATGTTAACTAGGGAAAAAAAAAGTGGTATTTTGTCCTTACAGAGAAAGGGATTTGTGCTTTTTGGAGTATATATTCTGCATGTCTGTATTGCCAGTTTCTCTTGCACACCTTCAGTAATCATTAAAGAAAGAATCAAAGTCTCATCCTGTAACAATGTTTGCTAGCTAACTATGTGAAAAAGCAATGTAGCATACCTTGTATTTGTTAAACATATATGAACAATTCTTGGAAACTATTGTTTCTAGATATTAGTATCTAGTAATATAATAACTGAATTTATCACATTGTATTTGTAAGAGAGGAGTTTTACCTGGTCACTCACACTTAGGGAGTGTGCTCATCTGACAAGAGGTTATTAAAACTAGCTGAGAAAGGGAGAGACCTATTCATGCTTTGATTTAGAACAATTCCAAAGCCAGACTGAAGCTGAAATCTTAATCTCTTTACAGCATGACTGTAATATACAGTAATAAGTGCATAGTGCCAGTTAAATTATTGTGTTGCAAAATATATAAATCCCTTTCATTTTCTTGCGATCATACAAAAAACATCATATTTAAATTTCTCAGACTAAAGTGAGGCTCAAGAGACAGGCTGTGCAGTGAACAATGAGCTATCTGAGAGAGCTGTACTGGAGTTTAATTTCACACTTTAAAGTATGTTAGGATCCTTCGAACATGTCATCTATAGTCAGAACGAGTGCTTCTCTTATTGAAAATGTTGATGATTTTTCTTTACCTATTGTGGTATGAAAACCATGGCAAGAAAAAAAAACACTGGAATCACTTTATTTTATAACTGAAAGGTATGGATGCACAAGATGTAAATTCCCCTGACACAAGAGAGATAATCATAGCTAATATCTGTGTTTCTATCATCACAAGGCAGGTCTTGAGATATGCATAAGGTACTGAAAGCTTTTTTGTTGTGGCCTGACAATTTTTCAACACAGTCAGAAGCATGGCTTAGGATTTTTTTCCTCTCTCTTTAATGGTCACTGCTTTCCAGCTAGCAAAAATGGAACTTTGAACCTGTCTAAGTGAGCCTGTATTTCTACATTTCTATTGGTACATGTTAGAATGATCTGTTCCACAAAGAGAAACTCATGGCAACACACAGCCTTTAAAGCTATACAGTGTATTGAAGATACTGAACAGTAGAGTACAGCTGGCTTCTTTGCTATACCATGCTGTGCAACTCATTTTCTAAAATTTCTGAATGATACTTTTAATTATGAAGATTGAATATGCTTCTACACTTGCATTATGAAGTAAACCACAATTGGTTTTTAGCTTCCCGGTAGTAAATTAAAAAAAAAAATAAACCATAACTCACACAAGTGTAAGGGAGACACCAGAACTGTACTTGTGGCTTCTTTGAAACAGAAACATAGGGTCAACCTTGACATAGAGGACCCAAAATTCATTTTATCTGGTAGTCTGTCTCTTAGAATGGAGACTACCTTGTCCTTCAGAGAGGGATATGAAGAACTTCAAAACAGACAGGTACCAAATCAGCTGTTTCCAAACATTCCAATCAGCATTTCTTCCAAGCCAGTCACAAAGAGAGGCTCACTCATGCTCTTTTATAAACAAGTAAATCTAAGATAAAGTCATCATGAGGTGAGAGTTACTATCAAATCATTCTCAGTAAACCACATCCATTTTTCAGGCATGTACACTAGAATGTGAAGGAAAACTGCCCTCTGCCAAAGCCTGGGAGACCTGCAAGGAGTTCTTGCAACTGGCAAAGCTGGATGTCTCTGAGGATGGCAGCATTGCTCCGGATGACAAGAAAGAGCTGGATGAGAACCATTTGCTTGCGAAGAAGTACGGAGGCTTCATGAAAAGATATGGGGGGTTCATGAAGAAAATGGATGAGCTCTATCGAGCGGAACCAGAGGATGAAGCTAACGGAGGAGAAATCCTGGCTAAGAGGTATGGAGGCTTTATGAAGAAAGACTCAGATGACGATGCCCTTGCCAACTCCTCTGATCTGCTGAAGGAGCTTCTAGGAACAGGGGATAACCCTGAAGCGGCGCACTATCGAGAGGTAAATGAGAACGACGGCGATGTCAGCAAAAGGTACGGAGGCTTCATGAGAAGCATAAAGCGCAGCCCTGAATTGGAAGATGAGGCCAAAGAGCTGCAAAAGAGATACGGTGGCTTCATGAGAAGAGTGGGCAGGCCCGAGTGGTGGCTGGATTACCAGAAACGATATGGTGGGTTTCTTAAGCGCTTTGCCGACTCCATTCTCCCTTCAGAAGAAGATGGGGAAACTTACTCCAAAGAAGTCCCAGAGATGGAAAAGAGATATGGTGGTTTTATGAGATTTTAATACCTTTTCCTTTATCCCTTTTGTCCTAAATGAGAAAGACTGCCTTATTTGTCATAACTTATTGTAACGTGTTGCTTGTACTGTACAGTTTTTTACTGTCCTT